TGCTGCTGCTGGCGCAGCGGGGGACGAGCCTGCAGCAGGCCTGGAGCGAGGCAGGATGTAAGAGATGCCGCTGCTGAGCGCACTCAACACGGCTCCCGATCCCCTGCAGCAGCAACACAGCAGCAGCAGAAAAAAAAAGTTGCAGATACACCACAATCCGCGCATGCATGCATAGCCGCAGAGGCACTGCGGTGTACATACACTGCAGATGTAGCCAGCAGCCACGTATGGAAGTGCAACAATTACAGCAGCAGCACCAGCAGCAACAGCAGCAGCAGCAGCTGCTGCTGCTGCTGCTGCTGCTGCTGGGTGTATGGGGTTACCTATCAAGCTGATCCAGCAGGCCCTCTACGACAGCTGCTCCCTGCCCGTCTGCTACTTTTTCTACTGCTTCTGCTGCTCTTGCTGCTGCTGCTTTTGCTGCTCCTTCTCCTGCACTCGCCAGGTGTCTTAGCGTCAAATGGAGGCCTGCTGCTGCAGCCTCTCGTGCTGCTGAAGCAAGAGTTGAACCCAAGCTGCTGCTGCTGCTGCTGCTGCTGCTGTTGCTGCTGTTAGAAGCTTCCCAGAGTTTCTTCGGATGGCTGTCTGTTTGCTGCTGCTGCTGCCGCTGCTGCTGCTGCTGCTTCTGCTGCTGCAGTGCTGCCCCGTCCGCGCTGCATGCAGGCGTTGCACTGTGGCTCCTAACAGCAGCAGACGGGCGGGGGGCTGCGGTGTCTGTCCCCTTCAGGGTGTCTCTGGATGAGGGGGCAGCAGTGCTGCTCGCATAGCTAGTCATTCGCGTGCAGTCTGCAGTGCTGCTGCTGCTGCTGCTGCTGCTGTTGCTGCTGCTGTTGCTGTTGCTGCTGCTGCTGGGAGTCCTAGACCCGCTGCTGCTGCTAGGTGTTGGGGGCTGGCGGAGACGCAGCTGCGGCGGGGGGCGGTGCATCGCCTTGAGGAATGCGAGCGGCTGCTGCGGCAGCAGTTTGCTGCTGCAGTCCGAAGGAAGAGTCTGCAGCAGCAGATGATCGAGGCCAGCAGAAGCCTGAGACAGAGACAAAGAGAAAAAAATACCCAAAACAGAGAAATAAAATACAGCAGCACCAAGCGCGGCATGCACGGTACAGGCTGCTGCTGCT